ATCACATCACATCACATCATATTATATTATCATAAGGAAAAAAGAAAAAAATGGTATTCTTGTTACTTGTCCTTTAGATTAAAGGAATCGAATACCTACCAAGAATAAATTCAAGAGATTCTGTTGTCATAGCTACCAGAGATACCGTTAACATTAAAAAACATACCTGTCGAGAAGACCTTACGATAATAGATCATGTGATTGGTGGCAAGATCACGTGTCTTGACTGTAATGCTGATGTCATTGCTGTTGGAGTAGGTCCATATGGCTACGGTATCCTTGGAAACACGGTACGTGTTGCTGGCTCTGGCATAACGCCATTTTCTGTCTAGTGTGGAATGTTCATAAACTGGTTCCGGTTGTACAGAGCGTTTTCACGTAACGTCACAGCGGCCATTATGGTGTACCAAAACAATACATTTTCTATCCTCCGCGAATCGAACTCTATTTTTATGCAAATACTGTGCAGAAAGTTTCTATTGTTTATGGCTGCCTTCTCATGTGAGTGAAAACGCTCTACAAAGGATGGATACCATGGTTGTCAGTGTTCGATCTAACGTGACGATAAATTTAATTTTTGGCAATAGCTTTAACATATTGATAATCTTCAGGATTTTTTATTCCAGGTACGACTTTACCGCTCACACACCGGAAGTCTTCTGTCAGTCCTTCCTGGTCACTACCACGAGGTCACGTGTCTCAACCTCAAAGACTCTCCGCCTCAACGCATTGTCACCGGAAGTTACGACAAACGCGTTCGTATCTATGACTTGCGCACTGAGACTATCGCAATAAATTTACGCGGTCATCAAGATCACGTGACCACAGTCCAGATGGACGAATGGAAGGTGGTCAGTGGTGCGCACGATGGAAATATATTTGTGTGGGATCAGCGAATGGCAGCGGTTTTATGGCACACGCATGCGCGTCACCCGGTTAGATTCTGTCATTTTGACAGAGTAAGCATGGTTAGTGCTAACATACCGAACGAAAAAAAGGCACAAACTKACTCTTGGTATGCCGATGATTTGATTTTGCATCGGCGCAGTAGAGGATCGTTACGGCTATTTGACTTCTCCTCGGATAACGCCACCCAAGGGGTGCCGGACATTTGTTCGTCATCGTATGACGATACTACAGGCTATAATTATAACATTGCCCTAGTGACTCCGTATGATGATATCAACGAATAAACTCTCGTTTATCGATCTTCTTTCTCCCCCTTTACGCGGTCTTCTTAAATTCAGTGTAAAACTTATCCTCACTTCAATCGCAGTAGGATAGAACTCTGGTGTAAGAAGAATTTTTGTGTCTATCATCCAAAATCCAAAATGAATATTTTCTGTTTATTCTTCTTGTTATATCACCCAACACGCCTCCGCAGTCGCGTGAACTTGATTTTTAAATCTCTGCTCAATTTATTACCAAAAAATCTAAGTAATTACTTTCGTTATGATGCGCATTTGCTTTTCACAGTCAATAGCGGGTAGACTTTGGGTTTTTTTAAACTGGACAATTCAAAGATTTGAGTTTGCGGTTTGTGAGAAAATCCAACTTATTAGTGGAACAGATTCTAGTGAAAGTRCTTGTCTCCAACATCCCATCAATTTTGCGCACAAGACACAGAAAAGCAAAGCAATGAAGTTAACTGCTATGATTTTGAAGACTTAGCCCATTAGGCGTAAGTATTAGGTACATATATACGAAGAAAACTAAAACGCGTCCTAAATAACACGCAAACTAATCAAATTATGCGAGCGTGTATTTCACAATACGCAACCGATAATAATAATAGCTCTCAAACGCTCCTAATTACAAATTAATATATTAAAATAATTATTTTATACTTGTGTACATCAATTAATAATAAATAATTGTATATGCAAATAATGTCAATATAAATATAAATGCTAATTAATTTTAACATATTTTTAAATAGATGTTTTTGAAACGCTCAGTCTTAACCTTAGGTAATGTATAATTGTAGCTTCTTGACCGTAAAATTCTAGTTCTTTCAGGTGGAAGTAGATGTGCAAGAGGGTGCCCCGGATTGTTAATAGTATTATTATAACGGATCATAAAAAGGTTTGCGTCTTCATTGGGTTATAAGTTGATACAGCCTCGTTTTCGTGGGCTATCTTGGTGAAGTTGCGCAAGACCCCAACTCTTAACCCTATTCTCGAATAAGACGCGTCTTTTTAAAAAATGAGACACGAATTTTGTACCGTTTTTTTAATAAGGTCAGTTCACGTCATATTTAAAGCCAGCATTACGCAAGACTCATCGTATTTTCTTCCTAAATGCGTGGTAGCCCGAGATGAAGAATTCTCTTTTCCGTCATTCCTATACAAATTGCTAACACTTTCTACGCATGGGTTATTAGAGTGCAGCCACTGCCACAATAGCACTCTTTCCTCGAAGATCTTGTCTTTTTGTAGTGGAAATGAACCATGGACGCAGTAAGCCTGATAGCTCATCTCAAATACAAACGCACGCAACAAACGACTGTATTACTGAAACTAACTACCAAGGGTTGCTCGTCTAGTAACAGTCTATTTGATTTAGGTATGGTTTTGAAATCGTCGAAAACTAAAAACCTGCCGGGCGTTTCAAAAGACAAACACTAAGCAGAGGCCATTGATTGCAACAATATTATGTGTACGCATGCGCACAAGATACTTTACGAAGCCATAAAGCTCACAATCATTGCATCTAAAACCTTGGKTTTTTTTTAATGGACTGTGGGTGTTGATTTAGCTCTATAATGTACAGCTACTAACGACCACTCAGTGTTCATTTTCTTCGTGTGTTAAATCCATTCTTCTATCAATAGGGGAGATGATAACACATGCCACCTGGTCTCTAGATATGATAGCTGGTCATGCTTTTATAGCTGGGCTAATTAAAAATCATTAAATGCACTCTCCTTCTCATTGACTAGACTGGCTAGGTACTTAAACATAAATATGGCCTTATAATACCAATAATGGGTGATCTGTGGGAGTTTACGTATCTCTATATCTCGATCGATCCTAGCAGACACCTACAAAATCAAATTTCAATTTTCGATGCTCCACACGTTTGTTACGTGAAGTACCATACGACTGAAGTCTCCTAATGAACTATGATTGGTAYTGAAAGGCACACTGAATATGCTGCCTCTTCTGTTATAACCAACATTTGATGAATCCCCACACCACACACACGAACTTTCGTACTGATCCCGCGGGACGGGATGTTCCTTGGTGGGAAGAGATGCCGGCGGAGGTTTATTGGAGGGGAAGTGCGAGGCTGACTCATTTCACCGCATCGAAACTCTCTCTCTCTATTTAAAAGCAAGTGAACGCAAAATTAGGTATTCATAAACACTCTGGGTGTCGACTATTCCGGCCTCAGTTTTTCCCTCTCCTCCGGCCGTACAAGGGAAAACTAGCGACTCTAACAAAGAATAACGGTTTTGTTTCCTAGGGGTCCTAAACTTTAAAACAGGGAGTTATTAAGCCCAAATAGATTTACTTTATGAAATTATTGTTTTCAGTATTATTTCTCGGTTTTAATATTGCTGTAAGCAATTAATTTGATGTACTCTTGCAGATGTTGTTTTTCATCAACGCTGCCTAAGACAAAAGCCCCCCTTCAGTTAATGTTAACATTATTTTTCGCACTTTATAGTGGCTTATTTAATGGCACATATAAATTTTTATCTGGTAACCTATGCGATATATCATAGATATAATCTCCTACAACACTATATTACCATATAACCAATCATCGTTCTCCCTTCACCCCACCCCACTCCCCCTCACACACATATTGATACACATCTTGGCAAGTAGATGTCAAGATATTACGTGCTCGCCATACACTATATATCATTCATTTGTCTTTTTTCTCTAAAACAGAAGCCTTTTTAGCAGTCTTGCCTAGCGTGTCTATATCTTTCAAATCAAAGCAGTTTTATCTGCATCTTATCAACCACTTCAGATAATTAGAAAGTGAAGATTTTCAAGTCCGAAGGCAATACTATTTCCAGAATGATCTTTCTTCCTTGTTTCTCGACGTAGATTAGAATCTAAATCATCGTTCAACAAAGCCGAAAGGTGCCTTTTTCATGAAAACTTCCAGATATAGTAAACTTTTCGCGTGTGTGATTCATTCCAAGTTATTCTCTTCATACAGAACCAACCTTGAAGATATACCATGCCAGCAAATTTAGTGTCAATAAACGTGATATTAACGCTTCTGGTATAAAATAAGCTGAAAATTTAATTTTGATATCTTTAGCCGAGGGGCTGCGTTTATTTTTCGTACTAAGCCGAGGTATATATACATATATATAAAACGGCGAAGGTTATAAAATCTCAACAAAACTGACATGCGGTCTTTTTCTTGAAGTCGCTGTTGTTGTTTTTTTGAACCAGAAAACGGCATGAGATGTTTATAATATTTACAGKGAATCAAAGAATGCCGTAGAAGAAAACCGCCGTCAAAATCAAAGAGAAAACAAAATGTTTTGAAAAAATTAGTGAGTGGTGGCAAAGGAGACTAAGAAACACACATTCAGTACTCTACACTGTCCTTTCGTATTCCCACATCAAAATCTTTGTGCTATATTATCTACAAAATGTTTTTTTTTTCTTTTCTCGTGTTCGATAAATGAAAGTGAAGAAAATGACCTAGGTGAAGAGTTGATAATTTGCTCCAGAGTCTTGATRATAACGGCACAAAATCCTTTCAAAAATGTTGTTTGATAAACCTTAGGCATGGAAAAGAGCAAGCCTAAAATGTGTGTAAAGAAAGACCTTTTATACTACATAGAGAAGCAGAGATTTGTCATTCTAACAGCGTTTCCATGCCCAGTGTTGTCCCCAAACACAAATATCTCGCTTGAGAAACAAAAAATCAATGAAGTATATATACCTGACTGGTTTTTAATTTAAGTTTTTAGTGAAAAAAGTTTGTCAAATTTTTTGGTGAAAATCCATAAGTTATCCAGGTAATCAAGACACTCACAAGTCACTAGAGAAAGGAGAGAGTTTCAAATTGGTAAGCAATATTGAATTTTAACTAAAAATGATCTTAAGTTAAAAAATTTTACAACGAACTCATAATACATAGAAGATATCCTGCTCAACAATTAAAAACCTTACGGAAAGGAAAGGAGAAAATGTGGAGTAAAGAATTAAATGAGATTTCACGTGGGTTTCAAGCTATCAGATAGGAATGTTCTTCCTGTCATAAGTCGGTCGAGACGGTCAGTATGTAATTAGACAAACCGGTTCAACAACTGACCAATCATTTGTGAGAATCAATGGAAACGTGTGAGTGGAGTGTTCTAAGTGAAGACTAATAGCTGTCTCTTGGAATATAACTTCGCTCTAATTACCAGTGATAGTTTTTTACTATTGCTTGTCATAAGACACTCGAAGTACAACAATTAGAGAAAAAACCTTCTCTGACAGTTTTCTTCTTTAATTAGGGAATCTGTAAACTGGAGTGTTGRGAATAATTATCGCTATTATTAGAGCATTGTTTTCTTTCAGAATTTTTTCTTTWTCATACTCATAAAAATATATGTTTTTCAAGGGGAGAGAAAACGTGCTGAAAAAGRCAGAGAGGGAAATGGGAATGAAATATTAAAGGATAAGGTAAAGACAGAGTGTCCAAGCTTAAGAACTTTACTAAAGTGGTTGAGGACTCGCAGTCACCGTTGAAAACAGAACAAGTTCCTAAAGTCTCATTTCAAGCTGGCACGGAAGGGCCAAACTGAATGCCCCACGCGAGCGGAGATGGACTATTCTTCTTCACACGGGCAAAAACGCACCACTGCACCGCTGCAACCTCAAAGTAAATCAAATATCAAAATAAGTGATTCCAAATGATTTTATTAAACTTCGCTTTGTTACTGATTGGTAACTTAAGTGCAAAACAATAAAAAATACTCAGGCATATTTCAGGACTGAATWTAAAACATATCCATAATAAAAAGCCTATTTTTAGTCGCTGTTTGGATGTTTTGTTTTGAAGTCCAAAAGCAATTAGAGGTGGATTAACTGTGTTTTCTTGTACCATATCAACAAGCATGAAAATCCGCGACAAAATTTTAAGTGAACTATTTCGACCAAGATAAATACTTCCAACGCCAAACAAATTGTACTGAATGTTTGATGTGTCTTAACTCTCCTTACCACCCTTTTTCCATTATATAAAGACGTTTTAATGGTCTTAGATAGAATCTAAACATCTTAAGCCAACCTGTTCCCAGCAGGAGCCTAGCTACTAGAACAACATCACTCACTAAAACGAGCGAGTTTTCACTTATAATAATACCAAATTACGACGAGACAATTCTCAGTGGCTTCTCTTTCGCCGGCCGCGTAATTTGTTCAAACTCGTGCTTGCCATAATTGCACTAGCCAAAGTTATCTAAGCACTATTCTTGTCTATAAAGAACGCTTTTTTCCTTCCGAGGAACTATTTGCCTAACCTAGTCAATCATAATAAATTTTCTTTMATTCTTTTGAGTGACTCAGAATTATCTTTTTATTTTTTTCCTTTTCCTTTTTAACGCCTTCTTCATTTTGGCTTTGTTTGCTATTTAGCGCACGTTTTTTTGTGCCTTACCTTTGGAATTCTTACACAAAAAACCTTTCAGTATAAACCTAGAGAAAAACTACCTGTCTTTCATTGACTTAAGCTTACTTATCATCGTTTTATCACCCCATAGCAAAGTAAACTTCTTACGGTTAAATCTAATGGCCGCGACTTCTGTCATCGCGTAAACTGACGACTAAGATGGTTCTGTTTGTAAACTTTAAAGCCGTCCCTTTTAACCAGAATGACGGCCTTTTTGATGTAAGTGCATACGAYATTTCTAATAGTATTTTATTCTGAGCCGGTAAGAGCTTTAAACATTGAACATTCCCGTCAGTCAATTTATATTTTATTCTGTGCCCTAAATCGATAAAGTGCTATCTAGAATTCCCGAATTACAGAAAAACAATCATAAAAGTACTGGCCTTTGAATATTTTTGTATTGAGGAAACTTGATCGCATTTCTGCTATTTACTGTGCTATTGATCTTTCGAATTCGTTGATTTTTCTCCAAGGAAGTTGGTAACAAGCTCCCGCGGTATGATAAGTCCAGCGGTTGAACGTGCAAGACTTGCAGGTGCCCAAACAGGTGTTCCTCTTTCAMTTTCTCCCCTTTTCTCCCTTCAACACTCTTAAAACTAAAATCCAATTGAAACAAAATGCTCTAAAATACTTAAGAAATCACTCACTAATTGCCCTGAACTTGAAAGAAAATGACATATAAAAGGCATTGAAAAAACAAGTGCGAGTTTCTCGTTCGACTTTTTACGAATGGCCGGAAATTATGTCATTGTCTCGTATTAAAGATACATGAAGGCCATCCAAAAAAGACATCTTTGTTTAGTATTTGCTTTATAGGCTATGAGGCTGTTTATATGATTCAGACGAAGACATCAAATTAACTAGAATTGGTCTTTCCAGACGAATATTTACAAGTAAAAAGAGTGATCCGAACTTGCAATACGTTGTTGAATTATCTCGATTCTTTCTTTGAGCTCGCATCTTTTCTTCTCGTATTGCGTATGTTATTATCGTATTTACAAGTGGAGTGTGGATAGTAGGCCAGTTATCGTATAGCCTATGGGCACTCTTCAGCAGCGAAAATACTTGATAGATAAAAAAGAAGACATGGATTMGAATCAAGGCAACTTAAGTTAAGGCCACGAAAATGAAAAAATATATATATAAAGGTTGTTGGATCAAAATGCCGTGTATTCAGGTTGGCTTTTGTCGTTCCAAAGTCATCAATTGCGTCGGTAGTATTTCTTTTCCTCAAACCCTCTACTTCGACCCAACTCATTTTATTGTACGGATGCCAAACATTCAAGGGATAGTCCATGCAAAAAAGAGTTTCTGGTGGTCCAATAGAGGCAGATGGCATTTTCCATAGAGTTTTGTTTGATGTATGTTAGATGGTCATTGTCATGCCACTCGTGGTGCAAGAGAAAAGAATCCCTGTTTGAGATCACTTTGCGGAGAAGTCATAGCTAACGAAGGCCTATTGTTCACGRGGAAGCTAAACAGTCGGGTGCCGATCTATTTTGACATGTCCTTCTAGCAACAACACAGTGTTTATTTCACGATAAAAGTAAACCTTTGTGCCAAGCCTTTCCGCATGAGTCGGTGTCTTTCAGAGCTGCAAAATGTCCTGCAGCTAAAGACCCTGAAGCCAAACGCAAGCGCTTTCGGATGAGACTTAAAAGAAACAATTGCTGGAACAATAGAGTCTAAATTGCGCGATTTTCCTCGTTTCCATAATCCACAAGAAAACAAAGAGTCATTGAGGGATGGTTTTAAGAACAATGGCGTTCGATATCATTGGTGTTTTGTCAAGATCCTGTCAAATTTGAACTGTCAATATTCAAGTTGACAGACCAAGTGATAACTAGAAAGCAGAATTGCGCATACGAGGGCCGCAGGAAAAATACTATGAATTCTACTTAGCCACTAATTAGAATATAACAAGGCAAAGCCTTCTGATAGCTAGTGGCATTTTCAAACATACATGAGTCGAGCATTGCTTAAGCGTGCCACCAATAACGCGCTGCACAATCAGCATTCGAACAGGTTTTTCGCTTGACAAAACAGAATAGTTGGGTTCTGTTTTTGAAGGAACTCGGACAGCAGCTGCAGAAAGTCAAGGGAACCTCCCACAGTTRAGCGCACCAAGACTTCGCATAAATTTCACGCAACACACAAACACTTGTACATAAACTAACGTTCCGGGAGGGGATCCTGGAGTATATTCGTGGTYTCTACTCGAAGAAGAGTAATTTGGGCAGCTTGCGACAGCAAGTGGCGAAGCTAGTTGATTTCAATATGGTTCAACAGTGTGCGGGATGCGAACTTCCTATAGCTGACAAGTTTCTTTTTAAAGTTCTTGATCGAGTTTGGCATGCTAATTGTGTACRATGTACAGAATGCAAGTGCTCTCTAACCGAGAGGTGTTTTTCGAGAGATGGTAAACTGTTTTGTAAAGAGGATTTTTATAGGTAAGACCAGAGCTGTCGAGTGATTTGAAGCCCTTGAACATTCCAAAACCAAAATACATCCCTCTGTTGCAACCAGAAGTGTTTAAGTGTATAACAAAATTCTTATTGAACGTTAGAAGATACTGATAAGTAAAACTGCATATTCTAATTCCAACAGGCGATACGGTACCAAGTGCTCTGGTTGTRAGCAAGGAATTTCGCCCAACGATTTGGTTCGGAGAGCCAAGCACTTGGTCTATCACGTTCAATGCTTTGTCTGCTCATTCTGTAAGCGAGAAATTTCTACCGGGGATGAGCTTTATTATATCGGAGAAGGAAGTTTTATTTGCAAAGAAGACTACTATCGCCACCATCATCACAACATCACTGATGGTTAGTCACTTGGAACTTGTATTACTGGGATATATTAGTTTGTTTATTAATTTCCAAAAGCTATTTAATCTTAATAACTCTGTTTTCTTGTCACATTTAAATTCTATGAATAATTTGCAGAGGCTGAAGAAGACCAAAAAGATCTCAGTTATGGCTTAGATGAGGATTTGGATGCCGCTCTTTCGAGCAAGCGTCGCGGTCCACGCACAACTATCAAGGCAAAACAGCTAGAAGCACTTCGCGCCACGTTTGCAGCGACGCCGAAACCGTCAAGGAGTATAAGAGAAAAGCTGGCTCAGGAAACAGGTTTAAATATGAGAGTGATTCAGGTTTGGTTCCAAAATAGAAGATCAAAAGAACGGCGCCTTAAGCAATCTGGCGGCCAAACGCAGAGCTCTCGATCCACAAGACCTTCTCGTAGATCAAGGAGCTCACGACACGACAACCGTGAGGACCCCAACGAGATGGATTCAGAAATACAGTCGCCGAAAACCCCTCACCTCGGCTACCACTCTCAAGGCAAGTAGAACATTTATGCTTTCTATTTGTGTCATTTTTTCTCCACTTTGCGTGGTTTGTGTTGGAGCCTTTTCGCAGTCAGACAGTCTCCACTCCATCTAGATCATCATCGCAAAACCGATCAAGCTTGCTATAGTCTTTGACCGCACAGCAAATACTGTCATCAGCTTTTTCAACATTTCAATGAAAGCACTTGAAATTGTTTGTCCAGTCTCTAAAACACTTGTGCTGTGCTCATCAAGAGCTCGCGTGCGAACCTGACCAACTAACAAAGACTACGGAGCGTTGCTTGGCAAATCTACCTCATTTCACTCCGGCAACCAGCAACAGACTGCCGCCCTATAGTACACGTGTGATGACGGATTAACATTCGTACGTTCGAACCGAATCGATTTCATTTTCATAAGAGCTTGTTTTACTCGAATTAAATAGATTGTCAATCGTCCATATCTCTTTAATTGTTAACGCTCATCGCCTACTAAGGCAACCTAACAATAATATGCAGAGCTCTTTTCTTTAAACCCAAATCAAAAGACGCAGTCACAGCGAACTTGAAACATTATGACCTCGCAATAAAACCTCTTTTCGGGAAGCAATGGCACCAAATTGTTCCAAGTTCTCATTCGTGATGTTTAGATMTTACGAAGGTAATCGCGGTTTTACGCGAGGATAGAGAATAGCAGCTGTAGTACTTTCCAAAGCCGGTCTGAGTTCTTTTGCATTAAGTCCTGTTTCTGTGGTTTTGTTATTTGTTTTTTTTTACGAGGAATTAAGCAGGTATCTTTCCAGAGGCATATCGTGTATCTAAGACAAGAAATATGCGCTCAATTCTATAATATTTGCTGCAAATAGAGCTGAACCCTGAAGCTATACTCTACTTTTCCATCTAGTTCGCGCTGTGTCTTGATTTTTAAGTGTGTTTGGAAATCATGTATATTGCTTCAAGAGGGCTCGAATCAGAGTCATGTCAAAAGCTTTTACAACCCTTTTCGTAGCTCTTTCTATTCAAGTAGTTAACTTATCTTTATAAACGATATATAGCGGAGGATTAATTTTGTGAGCAACAAGTGCGGTATGACAGGTTCTTCAATCCTTGACCATGACCGCCAAAGTTTTAGGTCATTTAAGAATAAAAAATGACCAGAATAAAAAGAAACTCCTGATTTCTCGTGTATCAATTTCCCTTCCAGTTGTCAGCCCATATTGTGTCTTTTTCTCTCGATACGATCGGTTAAATCCAATTCATCATTTCTTTGGTGAAGGATTTTCTAATGGAATTGGACGTGACTGTCAAATCGTCTGGCTTTAAGACTATTGCAGGTTTTAATATTTCTATCTTCAACAGGTTTTACATAAAAAAAAGGGAAATCAGCGACCAGTCTGAGATAAAAATGTCTAAAATCAAAAATCAGTCGTATATTAAAAAAAAGGGAAATCAGCGACCAGTCTGAGATAAAAATGTCTAAAATCAAAAATCAGTCGTATATATTCTTTTAGAAAGACGCTAGAGTGTAAAATATTCTCTCGATCGAATCGCATCCTCTAAATTTATAAAATTGAAGCATTCATAAATCTTAAGTTGTTCGCTGCAAAAATCGTAAAAAAAACTCAAAAACTGGGATTAAATTTTTGAAAACCTAAGGTTTTTTATTTTGGTTAATTTAAATGATCTAGCATTGCTATCAGAATTGATTTTTGAATGTATCTAGACGTGAACAAGCAGAAAGATTTGAAATCATCAGTTTTGGAAGCATGTTATAGAGCGCGTGTTTTGTTTACACTCTTTTACATTTCCTCTTATTAATAAAACTAATTTCTTAAAATTGTTTTGAATGTTTAAAGAAGCCGAAAAACGTTCTAAAACCTTTCTTGTTTGCGTTGGCATTCAAAACTTCAAATGTTATGCCTCAAATAGCAAAGCGCAGAGAACTATATGATCGGGGCCGGAGCGTGCAGAACAATGATTTTCCGAAACAGAAATCAGTCAGTTTAGCTAAGTAGTAAAGATGAGGGACACAGGGAGAAAAATATCTAACAAAACCTCATTCTACCCACACCTAAAGTTACTGGGCTTAGAAATTTTGGTTTCSAAAGCTAATGGTTTTTATTTATTCCAAATCACAACAAAATAGAATCATTTCCCTTCATGACAATAGTTCAAAACATCGGCCGAGCCGCCATACATGGCCTTGACACCTATAAAAGAAATAGCACTTTTTCTTTAACAGGGAAAAAAGATTCCTTTATTTTTTCTTGTAAGTAGAATTATATTTACGAAATGATGCAAGCAATAGCAATTCGATATCCAGTAAAAATTCTAACTAGTTTTCACGCATACTTTGATTTTCCGAGTGTTTCATCACTGCCTATACTTACATGTATCCAAAAATATCTGACAACAGTTTAGGGGTAGTTTTATAAAAAATCTAGCGGTAGTGTTTGTAAAAAAGTCAGAATCCTTAAAAAAGACAATTTAGTTGGGGTAAAGTGAATCATTTAACCGGCGGAGGTTGCTTTTTTAATTTGTCGTACGATTTGAGTGGAGCCATACCGATTATCTAACCTACCCCCCAACAAGCTTATCTCGTGAAGGTGGTCTTTTTGCCAGTTCTTACACGGGATCTTAGATAGCATTGTAAAAAAGTTCAAAATTGATATCCATAACACACTTCAAGCCATCCATTATTAACCATCTTGATTCTTGTTATTAAATTCTTGTACTTTTATTATTTTTCTCTTTACAGAACTTTCGACGCAATCGCCAAGGTATGTTTCGCCGTCGAACTACAACGACTATTACTCGCAAAACTCGCCTATTTCGGATGGATTATYGATGAACAATTCTCAAGTACAGCAAGTTGGGTCCGAGTTTGGTTCATCGCCTAGAGTAATACCTAACTCGATGAATGATATGCCGGCCGAAATAAATGGTTTAGCGAACGTGCGGCACATCTCGAATCAAAGTATGAATATCGTAGGACCCAGTCCTGGTGGCGCGGGGTTTAACCAAGCCACCGAACCACAAGTTAGCCTTGTCAATCCCGCGTCCTCAGAAGTTTGGTAGAAAGAACTGCCGCTATCTGATTACCAATCCAGCTGCAACGCAAGTATACTGCAATTCGCCTATCGGAAGTCGTAAAACAAAAGAGACATCAATATTACCTCCGAAAGTGTGGTTAAACTTTCTGGCTGCTCCGACAGGCGTGGAAGGCTAAAAATCAGTYTTAAAGAGTTTTACGTCAACCACAGAGGGAAATAAGTGTCGTGATGGCTGCGATATTGGACGAGCATCGGCTAACGTAATCTCGCTATGCATCTCGGGGGAGGAAAAGCTACTGGGTTCGTTATCGCGGTGGTTTACAGAAAGAACGCTGTCTCCCCCGAGGGAAGCATGCCGCCTTTGCTTTGATCTATTATTGTACAAAGGATTTTGAAAAGAACAATCCATACCAAGTCGATGAACAAATGCTTCTGAAGAGAATAATAAGAAAAGGAGTCTTAAACATGCAGTTGTGTAATAAAATATCATGAACACTAGAAAATTTAGAATTATACGGAGAACCAATGTAAATGAAAGAATATTTGAATTTGTAATATTTATGCAGAAAGAGAAAATGTAAGCTTTTATATATCAAAATGCGCGGTATGAAGTTAGGATTTTTTAGTTGAAATAGTAATTATATTACGTTATAGAGTAAGGAGGCTGCTTTTTGAACCAGTGAATCAAAAGACTTCAAAATGTACCAGTGTGAGGAGATTATCTAGATAAATAAATAGAATAAATAGAAATAGTGATGTGGTAGAACACACATTTCTATGAAATCATTATGAATAGTGACAATTGCCATCAAACATCTTTGTCTGCGATTGAGTGTTATAACTTTAGTCGATGTCGATATTGGTGTTAATCGCCTTTGRGTCAATCGAGAACTCGAGGAGACTTAAATATCAATAGTAAGCATCAAGGGTGTTGCATCGCGAACAGTTGGTGTATCGAATAAGCACACGACCGCTCTGTTGGGTTGTGTGTTTTGCGTCTCAAGCATTGAATTGGGCACCGAGGCTTAACAGATGTTAGTGCTAACTTTGAAATAGCTTTATCAATTGTCAGAGTCAACAATCACACGTGCGATAAATAGCTTTTCACCGAATAATCTGATCCCTTAGCTAGCTAGCTAGCTCCTGTAAAGTACTAGCAAGGCGCGAACGAGTAGATGACTTAGAACCAACAGCCCGAAACAGCGCTTATTTGCATGAAATCTTCACATTATCTTGGGATCTTTATTGATGTGAAAAATGCAGCTTTTTGTTAAATAGGCCAGTCTTTAGATTGTATAATATTTATACGACCCCCTAGCGCACTATTGAATATGCACCGAACATATATTTATAGCAGTAAACAAAAAGCTCCATGTATTATGTAAACCCTCGAGCCAGTCGCTGATAAAAGACCAACCAACCGCCTTGTAAACGTAGGGGGTAAATCGAGATATTTCCTAGTTTTTGTGATGTATACTTCAAATCAAAAGAATAACGCGTTTTGGGATTTAGAGGGAGTTTTTAACGGAAAGTTTATAGTTATTGTTGGCTCTACGACTTATTTCCTTTATTTCTTCTTCTTTTTTAGATGTTGAGTCAAACTTTACAACTTAACTTTTTTTCTGCAAACAAATTATACCTGCTTTTAAAGACAACACGCAAATCCTTAATTTTATATATGTTTTTTTAAGATTGAGTGTCTTAAATTTCCATTTTATGTAGAGAAGCAAAACATTTWAAAAAAATGTTAACAAAAAACAGCATAAAGAAAAGAAATTTTTTTCCACAAACACGCTGAGAACAATTATGAAATTAGTGATTTTCAACCAACTCTCCCTTTCTAAATATTTGTAAGTTTTATTGATTCAAACTTATCCGGGATACACAAAGTCTGTCTAATAATCAAAAACGTAAAACGTTTAGCGGAAAGACTTATTACTTAAAAAGGTATAGTTTTTCAAGTATTTTTTTWAAGCTCTGTTTACGAAATGTTTTTATTTAAAAAAATATAGGAAACTATATTCCCACCGCAAGATCATGGCGTTAAGAGGGGAAAATGTATATCATTGTACTTCAAAAACACGAGATAAAAACATAAAAAATCTTGACTGATAAAGAGACTTCAAGCACCAAACATCATAATTCTGATAGCTAATAATGTGAAGTGACTGTATAAATAAGCCAAATGTTTTCCTCTAAATCTTTACTTTTTTCATTATTTTCGCTGTATGCAAACACAGATTTTCCAGGTGCACAGAAGACCCGTTCAAAATCTACCACCCTCTTTTTCTCGTCTCGGAAAAAACGAATTTTTAATTTTTACATTATTAACACAGTGTCTTTGAAAGTTTACTCAAAGCAAAGTCCTCAGTACTAAAGGACTTTTGTTTAGCTTGTCTAAATTAGACTGATGCTTATACAATTCTAATGGAAGTGTATTTGATTGTTTTATACTCGTTCTTTTTCTTTCAAATTATCAACCGCTTACGATTCTATGGCTTAGGCGGTTTGTTTTCGTGTTGAATAAAGTGCCGGTCTTTTTCCTTTTCTTTTAATCTCTCTTGGGACAAGATCTATTGAGTTTTTAAGCCGACTTTGTTTTACAAGATAGTTAATTTAGCAGCGATAATCCGTTGAGGATTTGTGTTCACGTTGACTTTATTCTATCTGCGTCTTCTTTTTAGGGTAAAAAACAGTTTGGTATAGATTCAGAAATTATAAACTAGCATAAATTTTTGTTTGCTTTAATATGGCCGTGTTCACTTGGACTTATTTTTGAAAAGATGCTAATTGGGAAAGGAAGTCAAAATGGATGATTGCCCTAGTCGTTTTAGTAAGAGAACCACTCTAAATTGTCAACGTATTGTTCACGTTTCTCGCTGAGGTACTTCTTAAATCTTAATGATTTTGGTATCCTGTCTTCCATACTCTCTTTATTTTTATGTTTTCGCTCGAGTGCCTTTCAAACTGTGAGTTCAATTTGCAATGCAAATCGTTTGATACTAAAACAGGTGAAAAAAGGGCTAGTTTTAATAGTCATTGTACTTGAACATAGACTGAACGGCTAGTCAATGTTATAGACCTTTTGAATTGAGAAAAAAGAATCAAGAGTCGTCATTGTCTTTTCTGTTTGCTGTATTTTGTTTTCRCCCAAAAATATAATTATATGTTTTACTAAAATTCAAAAATATACATATTGCGTGTAAAACTTGCATGGTTTGCAGTTGTCCTTTGCTAATTTTTATTTAGCAAAAATTCCAAACAATCTAGATAGCGGCCAAAAACTGAGACAGGAGAAATGGCTTAGGAAATATCTTTTTCTTCTATTCATGCTGTTTGTTACAAGTAAATTAAATCCTTTTTTTAAATTCAACTAAGTTTAACTTTGAAAATCAGAATCCTGAAGAAAAAAAGGGTGGAAAAAAGAGGGGGAAACAACGAGAGAAAAGAAAGAAAAAAAGGAAAGGAAAAGGATATAAATAAAAATGAAAGATAAAAGTAAAAGTAAATCTAAATATCGAATTCTTGTTAACTAGCTCCCTCAGTAGAAATAATCTTGGAGCAACAAATTATAAACTTAAAATAATCAGAAAACGAAATACAAATCACTTTGAAGTGTCTTTTTAGAACTTTATTATTTTACGCAATATTCCGTAAAGCCGAAGACATCATTTTGGAAAGAARAAGCGATGGGCATTCCTCATACGATTTAAATTTCACAAACACGCAAAATCCATTTGTATACAGGTGAGATGGTAATTCGTTGCAAGACTTGCGTTCTACACACACACACGCATCACAAACCAAGTCATTACAAGTAAACCCACTCTGGCGCCAATCAATTATTAAGAGCAGTGATATTATGTTCGTCAAAGCGCTCTCCGCAAGGACGCGTCCCCGCCAACCAATCTTGTCGAGGTAATTCTTCAGCGCAGCGGTTTGCAAATGAACAGTGCTCGCCCTATGAACAGCCTGTCGTACTTTTTCGCAGTTGGAAAACTTTTGGCAAAGCAATCATTGAAAAGATCGCAACAGGGTGTTTTTGATTTGAACTTTTTCCCCCTTCAATGTGAGTGGCGGCAGTCGAATCTGATAACTTTGTTTACTACAGCTTACGTGGGTTGGAGGGTTTGTGAACTTGACTTKGAAGGCTTGTCCTTTCTCTGTTTATTTTACAAACACCTTAACAAAACTCGTATGTTTAATAGCGAAAAAATAAAATAACAAATCGAAACTTCACTATTGATTAAAAAAAACATCATTTTAGTTTTATGATACGCTTGCAGTTATTGTTTACACAGCTAGTGGACGGAGGGAGGGATAGAGAGAGAGGAGAAGAGATAGAAGAGTGAAAGAGAGAGAGGGAGAGAGAGGGCAACTTCTATAAGATACTAAAAGCAAGGATTCACTGGAAAACTAGCGCAAAAACAACGTAAGTTAGCTTAAAGGCAAGCAATTAAGATAGTAAAACTTTTCACTCCTGATATTAAGTGAAGTATTCAAAAGATCAATATATCTTGTAAACTTGAACAAATTACTTCCGATCAAAATCAATTACCAGATTCTGATGCCACAAGCAATCTCCCTTTAATAAAACTTTCGTATTCTCATATATTTTGAACAGAGTTTGTGTACTTGTGTACTTATTCTATTTTCCCTAGTTTTCGAAAGAAAGCAAATTCTTCACTAGACTTTACAGTAAGCCAATAAAATGACTCACACATGTGTTCCAAAAGAAAAACCTCAAGGAATTAGTGAAAAAAAATGAAAGCATGAAAAACTGGTCAAATTTATAGCGACACCTCGAGTTGTTACCAATAAACTAGTAGGTCAAGGGAATAAAATGAAAAGGCTTTTCCCATTAAGACTACATGTTTCATGTTATATAGTCAGCTTTGYTTGTTTTAGTTATTTATTTACTCAATTATCGATAAAACTTTTTAAAATTTTTCGATGTATGCTGTTCTTAAGCGTTTGATATTACGTAATATCCAAATGCTTATTCAGAATGTGGTTGAAAAATCAGCTTTAAAACTAGCTTTCTATCCTCGTAAAGTTATGAATTCAAACTCCGGCTCCATTCGAATTCAAACTGCTTCAGAGACAATCACAGCTTTTTCATTCTTTCCGTCGTTTCCTCTCTTGGCGTGATAGTTCAGCAGTCCGTTTTTTCTTCTTTTATTATTTCGTTTTCCTTTCTGTTTCCCCCTTTTTGTTCGGGAGGCGGTATAAGACACATTCTTAAAGTCTCAATGGGGGTTAAACTTGTATTCCGACTATCAGAACAATGATTATAAAAAAGCAAACCCGAATTTTTAAACTAAGTTTATAGCTTAGTTTCATAAGAGTGAAAAACTTGTTCAGAATATTCAAATACAATTTTCAACTACTAAATTCAACTTGGGGAATGTGTAGTTGTTTTNGGGGGGGTAGGGAGGGCTGGCGCTGGAGAGGGTCATCAGTAAAAATTTGAAGTTTTGTGGAGGTTCAAACCTTTTTATTTTGATGACAGCTGTTTCCTTGTTGACTTATTAGGAGAGTTTTTTGGATTTCTTTCCGAGTGAAAGGAGGAGCGCTACAAGGAATACTGAAGTGTCTRGATACCCGGCACCCGGGAACCAATTTCAAAATACTAGATACCCGGGAGTTTTTGATGATTTTTGAAAAAAAAAATCGTCAAATAAACACATCTTTGCCCATCGAAAGTTTTCTTACTTTATTTAGAATAGTCAAATGAGGGGCTGCATGAAATTATTAAGGGTCTTCGAATACCACAGCCGTTCAACCCAATATAAACGACGTACCTTTTGTATTAAAATGAAGACATTAGACATTAATATCATAACCAAAAAAGCTATCCATATCCTCAARTAAAACACAATCAATTAAAAAGATCCGAAAGCTTATTGGAAAAGTAAGTTAAACTATACTAAAGGCTGTACTTGTTGAACAACTGTATTTATATATTAACTTTTACAATTGAAGTCATGGATTCCCATATGGTCTAGTGGTTAGGATCCGGCGCTCTCACCGCCGTGGCCCGGGTTCGATTCYCGGTGTGGGAAGATTATATTTTTTTCATCTTCACCCTTTTACTCTTACACCATCTTTAGTTTATTTATTCTTTTTTCAAAATCTTGATTCAGCTTTTCATATTTTCTAACTTAATATTTGATGATTTTTAAAATCTAAATTAAAAATATTCGGTTAACAAATAAAGAAAATTGGGCTTCCTGTGTTTCTCATTCTTAAACTTATATGCTCTAAAATTATTGTACGTGTGGAAGAAAATAATTTCAAAGTATTTGTACATGTTATTTACTTATCGATCTGTCAACAGAAAGATATGTTTAAATAATTTCTTTTTGGCTTAGTTATCATAGTACGCATGCGCAATTGACATTCAGTTCCTATCTTCGTTTTGGATACGTAAATCAAATGGTATTATTTTTCATACAAACTAAAGTCCTTAAATCTTCAAAAGCGTTTTAAAAATTACCAGAAAGACATATTTCAGAGTGCATTCATACTCTCCCACATGGATAAATACGTATTGTTTTCCTCATATAAAATATGGCCCAGTCGTATATGTACCGSGTTGGTTGGAATGCTCGCTCAAGGGGTGACAAACGAGGGTCTTCACGACTCTGCTTCTACCCCTGGGAAGGTCTGAGACAAAGGCAATAACAGTCYCAGATGGACACCCTCGGAATACGAGGGGGTGGGTTCACTAGAAACAGGCATGGCGAACTGCACAAGGCAGACGACGATATGGCACTTCTCATTGGTGTGTGTATCGGATGCCAGTAGTTGCGTCATAGTTGGAAAGGTCCCACTGCCAGCTAGTTGAGTGCAATCAGCGAGGTAGCTCCCTGGTGGTGCTATAACTCAATTCAGACTACTCTCCGACCAACCCTCTTTTTTTTCAATCTCACATCTTCAATTTAACTAAAACTTTAGTCTTCAACTAAACATCTGAGACTTTAGTAATCATCGTCTTGCATCATTTTAATACCAGTTAACTTTCTAATCCCATATAAGCAACTATCGTATTATTTTCAAATTCTCATTCCTGTTCAAATTAAAGATTAATTTGGATCGTTTCCATTTGCATTCTTTCGAGGGAAAACTATGGCTTATGGAATCAGTCTAGTATAGTTTGGGATGATATAATTAATCTGCAATAGGACAACACATGTTTGTCCAATTTGTGAATTCTTGAATTCAAAACATTCCTCTGACTGCCAAATTGGACTCGGCCTATCGGCCTCTTCTATTTTGGCCATCCTCGGAATTTTTTTCATCCAGTTATTTCTAAATTGGGCAGCATGTAGTCCTGTTACCTATAAATTTTGCACGACATATTGTACCGCATTTTCCGCAAACGACTGAGAAAACGGCGTAGTTTATCTAAAGTCTGGAGAATTAATCATATCTCAAGGAAATTTAGTTAAGTTTTGAATGCATCAACATAACAAAAGCCAGTAGTCTCACTCGCGCCATTGTATCGGTCACTGAAGTAAGTTAAGGAGCCAAGCGCTATAAAAAATCCCTCGTTTCAAGGATTTGTGACTGAAAGTCTTTTATCTACGTAGACGCCTTTGATCATGAAGATATCAGATAAACGAGACTCCTTGTTACGAGACTCCTTGTTACCCCAACATTCTATGTGAACTTTTTATTCTTTTTAATCTTACATATCACTTTCTTTTTCGAAAATTCGTTTTCACAACTAAAAAAAAAAAAAAAATCGTAGCCCGAAGCTGCCTGCATTATACCTACGAATGCTGCGTGCCTCAGTAATTATCTAGTATAATTATTGTTCTTATCAAAATCCAATTGTTTTCTTTCTAGCTTGTTTATCATAGAAACAAAGCCAATAATGAATAAACTAAATATGTCTGATTTTCCTCTATACATTCGTTGGGATAATGCAGACTGAAAACAATGGATTTTGATAAGATCAGTAATTATAAGCTTCATAGACGCAGGAGAGTTGGGATTAGTGTGTGTAAAAAAATCCCTGCCGCCCAGGCCGCCTTTCCCATGCCATTCATTGGAGAAGGGAAATAAATAATCAGTAGTAATGGAGGAACGGGGACTCATCATTTAATCATTAGTTTTTAGTCATAATCGGAATAATGCATGTTCTAGCATTCTGTACGAAACGAAAGGTTCGGACTTTTAGGGGACTTCAGAACATCTCTCATTATGACCATAAATTTGATTCACGGCATTATATTTGTTGAGTTCGATATCTTCTAATACGCAATGTTTGCCATCTTTTATACCAAACATCAAAAAAAAATTTTTTTTCTAGTTTTATTCCCACAAACCACACAAGATTGAATTCTGTATGATAGAAAATAGAATCCCTTTTTCTATAAAATTAGGCTTCGTCTGTCATTTCTAAGAGTTCGTCTACAATTGCTTGCTTTTTCTTCATCTTCTTTGGCTCTACAGTAAACAAAGACCAGACAAATTCAGATTTTTAACACTGGAGATCAGATGCCATTATAAATTATCAATCCCATGTAAAACTAAAATAAGCAGCTCACCTCCATGAAAGTGTTCAGCCGTTCGCTTTCTTAAAGTGTCTACATCGTCATCGTCTTCAGCCCATTCAAGAACAAGGCGGCGTCCGTATAAATGAGTACTTGYGGACAAAGACTCGAAAGCACGCTGTCATTAGAGATTCAAAAATATCATTTCTCACTCAAATATCAAAGGCTAAGAATTAGATTTTTCTCGAACAAAATGAATCTTATTTTCCGCGGAGAATTTCAGGTGACAAACTGCCAAAGACTCGTATTTAGTGCAAGTAATTGAGATAATGTTTGTAAGAAATAGTTTCCCCTGGCTTTTATTCTCAGCCCTCTATTTACTATCGTCTTCATTTTCAATTAAACTGACGGCATTTGCAGTGATTTCTTACAGTTTTTTTCCAGCAGAGGACCGAGTTTGTTTATATTTAACATCAGTTTGTGTAATGTGACTCTCTGATGGCATTTCTCCTTAAAATAACTGCGTGACCTTCAAATGGCTTTTTAAAATAAAAAGCAGAGAAGGGCGTACCCAGCCAGCTACACGGAGGGTCAGAAAAAAAACCTCTGCTCGCAGGGTAAGAAGGGCGTAACATCCAATCAAAGTTGTTTCATGCAGGAGCCGCTTTAGTCATCCCCACAGCAACAAAGACCATGGCAGTGACACCCGTTCAGTTTCTCAAAACTGTTTCTATTTTCACTTATTCAAAACCTTCTCTTGAACAAGCTTACGCAACATCCTTACCTTTGCATCTTGTTTTGTCAAGAAGTCAACGAACGCAAATCCTCGATGTGGCCCCGTGCCTGCCATCTTCTTGGGCAAACGAAGGGTTTTTATCTCACCAAATGTACTGTAAACAAAGAAAATCTTAGTACGAAAATAATAATGATGATGATTCACATAATAATAATAATGATGATGATGATGATGACGATGATGATGATGAGCAATGATGAATAACGAAAATACTAGGACACAGCGCAGTCACGGTGACAGCATCCGTTAAGGGCCTGTGTAAGCCGAAACATCGTCTTGTGCAATCCTGTTTTTTATTTGTATTTCAAATCAACCACAACAACTTTAATTAGATTACGTTCTGTGGAGCATTTTGCCGGTTAAACTATGGCAGACAAGGTTTTACCAGAGCATACACTGGATGTAACGGAGGGAATTATTTACCTGAATAGTTCGCGTAATTCTTTCGTAGTTGCCTCAAATGGCACGTTTCGTACTAAAATCTTCGAGCTCTTCTGTTTGCTGGTGGTATTACGCTGTCGCTTGGTGCCTTTTTCGCTGGACTTTTTATGAGAGATCTTGAGCTCCAAAGCATGGTTTTCTACCATGCAGTTCTGATGGAACACACAAAAACACAAAAACCAGGAAATCAATACTCCAAATTAATCGATGATCTTTTGCTATAAATTAGCAATTAAAATCAGGCTAAAACAATCGAGTCTCTCAAAAAGGTTTAGCGCATGAGCATCCAGTCGTCGTAGCTTATTCTTAGACTGATTGAATAAATACTATAATTGAACAATAGGAAGCCATTTCGATGCTAAGGTATATTGCTTTTATTACTGTCTATGTGCTGTCAGTAACTGCTCCGTTTGGTAAAAACATCAATGAGCCAAGCAACAGAATAGCGCAGCGCGCTGATTCTAAAATAGCTTAAAGATTAGGACAAACATTGCATTCTGTTTAACCGCTACGAGGATTATACGAACCGATTTTATTATTTTTACTTAAAGTTACAATAATAACCCATGTAAACTAAGATCAACTGCGATCGGCTGTGAAAATTATCTGCTGAAAGTAAACTTGTAAGTTTGTTTCTCCGAATTTCGCCTTTGTTTTCGTTTTTATGACGTCACGGCTGCGCTGCGCTATTCAAAATTACCTGTAATTCTTTCATTGCTTTGAGCGCGGAAGATTTCTTCTTGAACTCAACAAAACCATATCCCATAGATAAGAGTTCACCTGAAATAATAAAATAAAAACATAAAAAATAAACAAAACCCAAGAATAAAACAGAATTCTGGGAATCTCAAATGGAATGCTAACTAATGACAACAATAAAATGGCTTTCCACAACCATAAAATGGCTTCCCACAACCATGAAATGGGTTTCCACACTGAATGGGTTACCACACTGAAATGGCTTTTCACAACACTAAAATGGTTTTTTACAATACTGAAATGGGTTTCCAGGATGAGATGGGTAAACACACAACCAAAATGGGTTTCCATGATACTAAAATGGATTTCCACTACCCTTACATTGCTTGTCCCAAAAGAAAAAAGATCATGTGTTCATTATACAATCTCAGTGCTAGTTAGATATGGCTTTCCACATGATTGAAAGCTTCTCTATATTTCTACACACCTTAACAACAAGGTTTACTGCGAACATTTACCTTGATTCTTGGAGTCTTTTTTCTTTGCGATGGTGACACTCTTCACAGCACCAACGTGCAAAAATTTCTGTGATTTTTGAAAAGATTTCTTCAGTATTCATATTTGGACCAAAGATTCAACTATTTTTGAAATACATTAATAGTACAAAAATAAATGAAATAGGCCGTTATATTATTTCTTTTACAARCCGATAAATTTAAACTTAAATTTGTATATATACACAGAATCGAAACATGGCAATAAATTTGAATAACTATTGTTCTGGACTGACTAGACTCTCAGACATGTGAACACAAGGCTAATCAGTCCAGAACAATAGTTATTCAACTTGGTCTTTATGTTTCAATTCAGTGAATGTACATGTAGCTTAGGAGCCTACTAAAGAACAATCAGATATTCTCAGGGTTCTCATTTTACCTCCTTCACAGTTTCCTCTGTAGTCTCAAAATTTAAATTTTTGACAAATAAAATTTTGCCTTCTGAATCTTCACTCTCACTTTCTTCACCTAAATCAGATAACATTAAAATATGAATTATATAGTAAAAGATACTAAAATTATTGTTAAAATCCTAAATTTTTGATAAAAGACTTAGTACCTGAAATATCTTCTTGTTTTGTTTCTTTGTCTTGGTCTGCATCCTACAGAAACAGAAAACAGATAAAGTCTGATTGATAAAGTATTACCAGCCAAAAACAACACTAAATTAATTGTATTATCCTTATGATCATTCATCATCATCATCAACTCCACCATCATGATCGACCACCACCAAAATCAGTATCATCATTGTCATCACTATCAATGATCATCCTTATCATAGCCACAATCATATTAAGAGAGAGCAAATATGAAACTGTGTGAAGGGCTGAAGCACAAAACGTCTATATCATTAAAACGGACACTTACATATACAAAAGTTCAGGTTTCAATATAGCCACAATCATTTGCATTTCTATCATCACATCACAACCATTACCACCAATGCATTTCAAAAAAGACTAAATCAATATCATCATCTTTCAACACCACATTCATCACCACCACTAATGCACTTCAAATAAAATTCAATTAAGTTTGCAGCTCACATACCTTCATTTCCACTTCAGTGGCTTTTGTCTCAGAACTCTCAACAAAAACATCAATTGGAGCCCATTCAAGATAAAGTAATGAGTTCTTGAACTAGAAGAAGGAAAGAAACAATAAAGAACTGACTTTTGCAAGTTTATTGGTAAGCATCTGAATGCACCAACCAAAATAATTTTTTTCTTCTTTTTTACCATTCTGGAAAAAACTTCCAATGTTATTATGTTGGTAACAATAAAACAATCTATGGACATCTAAGTCAGGGAACATCTAATTCAAAGATTCAGTGAAATTTACCTTTGTGTATGCAAGCTTTTGAAAAGCTTTTCTGGCTACGCTTGGTTCATTAAATTCTATGAGAGCAGTAATCCCCGATGGAGGAAGAACGACCCTGCCAAGCTGCCCAAAAGGTGAGAAGAGTGTAGTCAGCTCCTCAGACCTTGTGCCATATGGTAGATTCTTTGCTATTACTACAGTTTTACTTCTGCTGGAAACAGGCTGGAAAAATATTCTAAATAAGTACAATCATGTATTTGGTGTTTTTCATGCTTGGTAAGTCATAAGAATGTAAATCATGTTTCAATCTTTGAGCTATTCTTTGTTGGAAAAAAAATCAGAACTAAATGAAATTACATAGTGTTATTCCTAGCTAACTATTTAGAWAATTAATTAATGTTCTAAATAGTTAGCTAGGAATAACACTAATGCAGAGATTATGCATTTTTATGCAAAATATATCTCATTAATGCATTTTTACAATTCTAATGTGTCCCAGGACTCCTTTTATTTGTGTTCTCACAAGAGCTTCCTAAAAATTGATCAGGACATCAACTGGGACTTCAGTTTGAAAAGTTGCATCATCAATTTTTTTCCTCACCTGCCCAAAAACATCCAGTTTTACACCATGATCAATCAGAAATTTTCTTGTATCGGCAACAACTTGCGTTTCTCCAAGAGCCATCCTGACTGCAAGACTGTTTGAGGATTCGGCATCTAAAATCCCTCTCTTTGTTGTGTTGTATTTATCAGCCATGGCATCAGCAACAGCATTAACACCAAGGAACAAAGTGTTCCAATTGTGGTCACTACTGCTTTGGGACTTTTTCTTGGCTTCATTTTTCTTCTTATAAGTTGTGTCTCCTGTAATRAAGAAATGATTTGTGAGTTTTGAACCAAAAAAGTATGAAAAATAGTTTTTACAAGCATCTCTTAATCCACTGAAATGTAATTGGAATGTGTAGTTCCAGAAATTTTCTTCAGACCCCTTACCCCCAGAAATTCCAATTTTCTTCCATACAAACTCTGTAATTTTGTTCTTTATCTGAACCCCCCTACCCCTCAGAATTTCCAAATTCCTCTGTGAGATGGGTTGGGGGAGGGATGGATAATTTCTGGCACTATGCAATTTAGAAGTTATGGAAAAACATTTAAAATGAATTAAGAAAATAAAATAGAATTTGGAGTAGCATCTTCACAGTGTGGCTGTTTTTCAATAGAATCCAATTGGATTTTAGAAGTTGATTTTTTCAGAGGGAGGAAAACTGGAGAACCCTGAGAAAAATCATGAAGAAATTTGGTATCTTAAAGTAAAAGTACAATAGAGCAGTTTTCACATGAGTGGGAAATGATACAACAAATTTGTAGCCATACTGTTGTCATTCCTTTGTTACTGTTTCTGTAACACACAAGTTTGTTAGCTCTGTGCTCAACTCCCTAGCCTCTACCCTTCCACCTGTCTGGCTTGGGTGACCTTACTAAGAGGCAAAGCCAATGGGTAGTAAGTAAGGAAGTACTGTTGCATTACTGTATCTAACTGTAACTGTAACTAGAAGCTATTTTGGTGTTACACCATAKTGAACCATGTATACACTGTAAGTGGGTACTGTATGTTTCCCAATCATATGAAAACCACTCTATTCTAAATAAAGGCAATTCTTATCAATGTAGCATACCAGCCAGCTCATTTTCTGTCTTCTTAGCTTTGGAAGGCAAGATATGTAACAGTCGTCCTTGAAATACTTTTCCGTCAAGTTCATTAAATGCTTTCACGGCATGTTCAGGCATCAAGAATGTCACGTATCCTATGCCGATGGTCTTGTTTGTTTGTTTGTCCAGAGGAAGGTTCACTTCAGACAGAGGGCCATGTTTTTCAAACAGTTTTTGGATGTCATCCTCGGTGCAGGTGTAAGACAAGTTACGAAGAAATAACCTTCCAGACTGTATGGGTAGGAATAAAAAATGGGAGTGAAAGGGTGTTAAAAATAACTTGTACGTTTGCCATGTTGTTCATTGGTATTCCTCACATTTATTCTTATGGAGGGAGAAAAATTCTGAACATTTCAAGATATAAGCATGGCTGGTTAACAAAATACAACAACATCTCTATCTACTTTACCAGAGGAGGCCTAGTTCACTGAGACGTATAAAAAGGGATTAATAGTTTATAGTCAAGAGGCATTTAATTAACTGGGACTAATCACAACGATGTAAACAAATGTAAGCCAATCATACCTAAGCCAATCAAAAATACCTGTGAGCAATGAAACCTAGATCTGATTATGTATATGTAACGAACAACTTACATGTTATCAGACAACAACCATGGGAATGAATTAACATTGTAATTGGCTGAGGTCAATGTGCTATTGAGTCTCTCCTTATTAGCTACGATTTTCCCTTTACTTAACAATTATTTGCCAAAGGTGAAGTGAATATCAGGAAATATTTACCGAGACGCAAATCTTCAAGCRGCGAGGTAAATATTCCCTGATATTCACTGAGGCTGAGGTAAATAATTGTTTTAGTTTAAATACACAGGTGATTCTTTCAAAAAAGAAAAAAAAGAAGATAAAAAACATATTTTTCCTGGTAACAGCAACAAAGCAGCTGGCTGCCATTTTGGATTATCGCTGGTGGTGATTATCGTGTGATAGTGTGAGTTTTTCGACCAATCAGTGCACAAGATTTTCAATAATCAACTGTGTATTTTTACTAAATAAAATTAATGTGAGTAGTTAACCTTGTAAAAGCATTTCCAGTTAGTGTGTCCATATTGTAAAACTTGCTGAATACATGAGGCACAACTACATTTTGTTTTTCCATGAATCACTATTCATACCTCTCCAATGCCTTCATCCTCATCGTTATCATCATTTCCTTTCTCCTTCAATTTCTTTATCCATGGTTTCTCATTCTCCTCCCCTGTTCTTGCATCTTGCCTATTATCATGGCTGTCATCTCTAAACAGCTCTATATATCTTCCTTGTAAATAATCTTTATCTCTTTTTAATGCTTTTTCTAAGTCATCTTTATTCTTGAAGTCAACAAATGCCCGTCCTGAACGTTGCCCCTTTTTGTTATTAACGAATCTAATGCTAACACATTCTATGGGAGAAAAGAATTCCATAATCTGTTTTTCTTTTAACTTAAATGGTAAGCCTCTCATCTTTAACGTCCATGAACTCTGAGATTGTTGCTTTTCTTGGGTTTGTGGCTTTGATGGAGTGGATTTGTCTTTGCTAGTTTTTTTGGCACTGGAATTATTTTCATCACTACCATCATCACTGTCATCATCATCACCTGAATCTCTTGGGTCACTGTCTGGGTTGTCAGAGGGTTCACTTTCTTTAGATTGGGCAACTATTTTAGATCTCAGGTAGTCCATATCCGATAAATTTGTAGCAGATGCCAAAGTTTCGTTTCCAGTTTCATTCTCTTCTTCATTTTCACTGTCATCTATATATAAACATGAATAAACATGAATAATAAGTTTATTATTCCTTCTGGAATGATTATTGTTATTGATTGGGGATTAATTTATGATAAAATAAAAACTTGCCTGATGAGTCGTCATTATTGTTGTCATCTTCAGAAGGAAAAACTGATGCTTTCTAGAAGTCAAAAAGAAGAAACCTTACTCCAATACAAAATAGCGTCCAATTATAAAGAAAAACAAAAACATCCTTGTTTTTGAAGGTAGCAACTAATAGCCAGTAGCTAAAAGACCCTCATTCCATCAAATCAGCCAATCACTCACRAGATTTATCAGTGGACCACAGTTAGAGAAATGGAAATACTTTGCTTGACGTCCGCCAAAACCCTATTTTGTCGTGACTACACAATTTAATGTACAGGTGTGTTTGGGAATCACTTCAAAAACCAACCATGCCCTATTTCTATTGTTTGATATCAGGTTTGGATTTCAATGGAAAACCTGTCCTGGGACCAGGAACAGGTTTCCCATCAAAACTCAAACCCTCAACCCTTCATCAAACATTGAAAATAGGGCTTGGTTGGATTTGCATTGAAATATGCAAAACCTTGCTCTAGCGTTTTAACCTTTATGTAAATATCAGATACTTCACTTACTAATAAAATATCCTGTTGTATCCCACAACTTTAACCAACTACTCACCCTGTTCTTAGTGCTCTTGTTTTCATGGTCTTGAGTGTCCATGTCTGATGCTGTCTTGCCACTTATATCATTGCTCCACAATAACTTGGTACTACGATTCTGATGTGCAGTCAAAAACTCCTGAAACTCAGTATTTTCTTCAATTTCATCCAATTCTTTAATTAATCCTTTTGACTTTGATTTTCTATCTTTTCTTTTAGCCGTTTTGTCATCATTTTTACTGTCACTCTCAGAAGACTTCGACTCTATACCTTGTTTTCTTTCGTTTGAGTTTGATATTCTTTTCTGATATGCAGAGCTTCCTTCTGAATATTTACTCCACGGACGTGAGGATTTCTCACCGAGATCTSTGGCAATCTCAATTTGAATCTTTGAAGTGTCAATAAACGAATTATTGAAGAATTTCATGGCATTTTCTGCTTGTTCTTCAGTTTTAAACCCCACAAACCCAAACCTACGAAATACGCCATCTTTAGTTTTACAGAGTCTTAGATCTGTGATTTCTCCTTTTGACGCGAAGAGAGTCCGAAATTTCTCTTCTTTGATGTTCTTGGGAAGGTTTTTCACGATTATCCTAGACATTTTGTTTAAGATCTGGATAAAAACGTATAAAAATAAAACAATTTACTTTTTGTACCTCGTGGCCACCATCTTGTTTTGTAACKCCATGTGACTACACAGGTATCCCATATAGTACATCTCAATAATCTAAGGGGGTCGAGAATGTAGTTAGTATCGTGTCAGGATATATCTACCAGCGATATTTCAGTTCCAGAATTATTGTCACAAGATTTCGAAATTTCTATYATCTAAATGAATCGCTTTTGATCTTTCGAACGAAAATGGTACTGTGCTACAAAAATTCCTGTGCAACACGAAGGGCTTGGGKTGGGCTGCCTTTGGTGTAAACAGTAGAGCTGGACTGGAGAAATATGTAAAAATTCTTTGAAAGTCGCGCGGAAGGTTTGAAAATATGAAAAGAAAAAGAGGGGAAATCGAGGGTTCTGAGAATTACGATGAACCAGCAAGGACCATTAAAAGATTTTTTASGGCTCCTACATCAGGTGAGCTAGGCACAATCACTTTTACAGTATTGTCCTCATCAGCATGAGGGGATTCGATACAGGTGAGAGGGGAAGCTTCAGGGAGTTCATTCCAAGACCTATACTCCCTAAATACGACTGTGAATCCCCTAAATACGACTGTGAACCCCCTAATTAGGTCATCTTGATTGTTTCACACCCCCCCCCCCCCAAATAAAAAGTATTAACCCCCTAAGTAGATCACTTTATTTGGGTGTTTTTGATTGCTAATCTCTGTTGGTCTTTTTATTTGGTTAGCTTATCTAGCTTCGGTCCTTTTTGGGTTAGTAGTACTGTATATACAAAATGAACAGTCAAAGTTTTATACTAGCAGTTCAACCCCCTAACTCAAAATCTGCCCCAGTTATATGTTGTTTTCCCCCCAGAGCATACCAAGTCAAACAAAGACTCAAAACAAGTGTCAACACCCAAAYCATTATCAAAATGGAAATGGAACAAAACACTGTTATATTATGACGATGATGTCAAACCATCAGACAAGATCGCAGCATTTGACTTTGATAACACATTRGTAAAAACATCCTTGTATAAACACGGTGTAGATGCTTGGTCAATCTTGTATCCAAACTGTTTGGAAAAATTATCAACATTACACAAAGATGGTTTTAAGCTTGTGATATTCACCAATCAAGCTGGGATTGGTAGAGCAAAGACTGCAAGAGAAAAGATTATTGCAGAGAAAAAAGGAAGACTTTTGGGTTTTGCAAAAAAGGTAATACTACCTACATGTTAAGCAAGTTAAACACACTGCCAGTATTAAAGTGGTTTTTCGTATGAGTGAAAATTGATATCACAAATCTGTTGCTGTATCAAGTCTTACCCTCACTATACACTATGTCTTGTGTGATTGGTGAGAATTACTTGGAGACAATGAATGGTAAGCCATGTCCGACTCATATAAAACCTTTTTTAGCTTATGACCTGGGTCCTAGTTCCGGCAGACTTGGTGTCGTATGTGAGTAGAGTCGTTTGTTGTTCTCTCCTGTGCTTCGAGGGTTTTCTGGGTTCTCCGGTTTTCCTCCCTCRTCCAGAATCAACTTAAAATTCCAATTGGAATTTCAGTGGATGAAAAGCCACTCTATGGAATTTATTTATCCCTATCTCCTCCTCAGTTTAAAACTACTGCAGCACCATGAGAAGGATAGAGGAATATAGGAGAGCACCTCCATCCTCCCCTTTCCAAACTCTMCTTGCCAAATAACTTGGCTATCATAGGTGTAAGTCAAGAGATCCACTACTAGAGTCCCTCTACCTTGAAAGATATTGTAACCACTTCATATTCGGTTTTCTAGGCTGGTTTACCATTTCAGATATTTGTCTCTACTCAAAAGGATAATTATTACAAACCCAACCCAGGGATGTGGAACTTCATGAGTACAGAAATGAATGGAGGAAAAGATATTGATAAAGATCTCAGTTTCTTTGTTGGAGATGCAGCAGGAAGGAAGAAGGACCATAGTGATGCAGACAAAAAATTTGCTGAAAATTGTGGACTGATTTTCTACACTGAGGATGAATTTTTCAGCTTAAAAAAGTGATGTGCCAGGTTGTTAACAAACAAAGTACTTATCAATGGCTTCTTTTTTATTTATTGATATTCGTATATAATACCACTGCTCAAAAAGAATTAATGAAAAATAACTCGCATACTACTCTTCCCAGTAGACCATTACACCCCCCAYGTTTTCAAAAATTGTTGATAAAAATTGATAGCATGATCTCATTTTGTGTACCATGTGATGAGCTTTTGGATGTACCACGTGATCAAAATTTGTTGGCGTAAACCAATTTTGATCACATGGTACATCCAAAAGCTCATCACATGGTACACAAAATGCGATCACGCGATCACTTTTTTCCAGCTGCTGGAGGGTTTAAAAGCTCCTCTGGATRGGTTGAAAAATGTAAGGTGTAACGGTCTACTGGGAAGAGTAGTATTTCATGAAAGTGGCTTGATACCATATTTCCCATTACAATAATTAATTTTAGTTTGAAAAATAATTCTGAATTTTTTAAATTAAATCTAAGTTGGTATATAATGTCAATATCAGCTTCTTGACTTGTTTGGTTTTGAAGCTTTCTTGGTACTCATTATCTTGACAATTTGGTTTGACTCGTCAATCATTTCATCCTTATGCATCACTCTCTTCTTGCCAGTATTATCGAGACACTCTGCTCTGACATATTCTCCAGCAAGTAAACAAGCTGGAGGATGACAAAGTACATTAAAMAGTTTACCAACTGTAGTGTTCTTTTTCAATACAACACAGTCTCTAAGGACTGAGAGGTGTTTGCTGGGTTGACTACTGATTGATTCCAAGGAGTCTAGTGACTGCACTGGAAATGCAAAGTTGGGTGGCCTTAAAAGAACTGCTGTGGAAACTGCTTTAAGAACTCCAGTGCTTCCGAATGGCTCTAATACTGCTTTCATYATTCCTTGTGCAGTCTCTAACTCAGTATGTAGTGTCACTTCAGAAATATCAAGTACTGAATGCTTAATCTCTTTAGGTTTATCAACTCCATTCCAAGCTGAAAATTTTGAGCCCCCACCATGGTATTCAATTAATCCATTTTTTTTAAGTTTCTGCAAAAAGCATTCACTTTTTGCACTTACAGGGACCATGGCCATGTCCTTGAACTTCTCCTGAAATGTCTCAATATTTTTCTGTGAATCAGGACGGTCTATTTTATTTAACGCCAACAGAATTGGGAACCTCACTTTGAGAAATTCACTAACTAAGTTGTGGACCAACTTTTCAGAATCTTTCTGGTTTAGAGAGAAAAATGMTTTCATTTTCTTCTCTGTTATCCCTTGAGAGGTAAAAAGACCCTTTATGAGATGTTTTGAGGCATGGTAGCCAGTGAACATGTTAAAAAGCTTGGTTGGCTTCTTGCAGATCATGTCCCACTTGCTGATTATATTGGAGAAAATCCACTGATGTAACTCTTGGTAAAGCCATTCTACATCTAGAG